TCCGAGGAGCATCCCTGGATAAACCAGCACTCGGGAAGTGTTTGTCGAATCCCGCGGCACAGACCGCCTGATTCTAGGAGACTCGACCCGAGAATGAGAGGCCTTGGGAACCTTGTGAGCCTACGGGACAGGCGGCTCATGAGGAGGATGGTGACGCACGGCTTGTTCGGGCTCATCCAATGAGGCGGCATTAAGTTTCGCTTCAGATCTCTGGGCTGCACCCTGCCAAAACCAATGAGCTGACGGATCCTTGTGACCCTCTCCCGACACGGTTAAGTCAAAGCACTTTGGCTTAGAATAGTTATGTTCTATTTTTTCCCAGTGGAATTTGTTTCCAAGCAGGGCTAAAAGAGTACAGATTACAGCGCACTGATTGGGAATTGAGACTTTCCCCCAAGCTCAGGATCGGTTACAAAGCTGTTTCTGTTTTGTATTTTCAGGTTAGATATTATTTGCACTCAAGAAGACCTAGGAAGGTGAGTTCTCGACACAACGATTTCTCTTTCTTCCCTGGCTAGCTTTCCCTCACCAAAGAAATGTTAAAGAACCGATTGGCCTAGACGAGGATCTCTCAGGCTGTTGTCCACAATTACAATAAGCATCATAAAAATCTCCGAAATATCCTTCGCTCCGCCATGTTGTGCTGAAAACCCACGAAGCTTCATTGTCCCTCCTCTTCCAGCCAATAAACTCTCTTCTGATATTGTTCCTTATAGTGTAAGGCAGTAAACGATGCTAGCGGCTCCAGGGGGAGACTCATTCCTACGGACATAAAAGACCATTACGGAAACCAGCTCCGGCTAGGGCGGTTATATGGCCAGGTTAAAATTAAGGGAGCAAGAAGAAGGGCAGGAGCGTAAATTCCCCCTGTCCTTGCCAAGGAGGAAAGGGACTGGGGACCCCCGGCTGGTGTTCGGGGTACTCCTTACAGTTCACCGGGCTGTCTGATGCCCCAGCAGTTTGGGCTACTTGTGAGCTTTCTTTCCAGTTCCACGTGCACTGGATCGTGTCTTCGTGTCCTCCGACCTACCGGGCTTTCCTCTGAGCTCCTGAAATCCTGACGCCTGCTCCCAAGAGGATCTCGTCTCTTTCCTCCTAGATCATATCCCCTTCGAAACAAGGGCGAGGAGGTGGGATGGAGTGGAGTCAAATGAACAACCTTGTCCTCTTCTGTAGGAATGGGGCCTGATCCGAAAACATCATGGACGGGAACAAAATGAAAATCGCCTACTGTTTGAGGGG